ATTTTCTTGACTTGCATTACCAACCTTCACCTGTTTAGTTAAAAAATAACCTTAACCAATTGTAATTTTGTTTGACAAACTTAATGTACACATACGTACAAAATAACACACATGTGTATTTGCAATCGCACAGCTAAGAAAATGAATTTGCCGAAAAGAGACTCTTCGGTGATCTACGTGTTTTGTTTTCACATTATATTTTCTCACTTGATTGTGAATGAAAAAGACTTTGTAGTCGAAGACAGCCAGATTTTTCACATCCCTCACTTTCGGTGACGATACCTCACAGCCATTGGTAAAAACTGCTGCATATTTTTCTGATTGGCAGTTGAATAGGAGAGAAGTTGGCAAACACCACACGAGTCTTTTGCAACAGTAGTGAGATTTCGTCAGCAATGTGTCTATAAGGACTGATGTCACACCCCAAATAAGTAATCAACTATTTAGCTCTTTGTCTTCAAAATAGGATCCAGTGAAGACCAGTACTGTGGCATCATATTAAATTTCACAGGAGTGAATCTCATGGCAATCATACCAAGATTACTGCACTAAGTGTTGCGAAGACTGCATTTAATCAAAGTCTTCATCGAGGAGTACAATATCATCTGATGTCTCAACGACGACGAGAAAGGTCCCTGGTAATAAGTTAATCTCTATATGGTCTAAGTTATATGGGGCCATGCCTATTGACACTTGTATGATGAAATCAAACAAAAGTACAGATAGTGTGCATCCTTGACAGATACCACTTAGGATGACAACACTTCATTGGATCTTACACATATACAATAATTTGAGTAGAGTATCTTGATTAAGTCCCTTTATGATGAAAAACCGCTGCAGTACCTCTGCAAGAAAGCTCCTAACACAGTTTCTATACCTAATTTGATATTACATCAGGTTTTTTGCAGGATGACTTTTGCTATCAACATTGGACAATTGTCTATTTATTTTCATATAAACGAAGACTCTGTGTACACTTTATTGGCGTAACGGCTTCCTGTCTACCCTTCTGTGTCTGCTACTTCGTGGATATCCAAGTGCGCTGGATAGCGCGTGGTCAGAGTCTACGAAGGTGTTTCGAAAGGAGCTATCATCTTCCGCCGAACCTCTCTATCTACTGATTATGAGTATGTGATTCACTTGAGTTCACTGTTGTTCTGGTGATGGAGGTCACTGGGTTAGGCAGTATCTCATGTTTGAAATTAAAGCTGGTAAGGAAAAGATGATTATAAGAACAGAATTGTCAGAAAGAATAACCGCCGTTGGTTCGTCATCTGGGGACTTCAGAGGTACCACTGATATACTTTCCTGACTAAGACCGCTCCCCTAAATTATAATTGAAATCACTTGTTGAAATGTTTGTATCTGCGTCGCTCTTCAATATCAAGCGAGTCGGCTTCTGATAAAACTTTATTTGATTCCAACTGCAGTTATTCAAGGTATTAGCAAAGATTTTCATAAAAACATTGATCGGTATTGCAGACTTTCGTTTTCATTCAGGTTGACAGCATGCATACAATCGCCCACTAGGACGCGGTCAAGCAAGAATACTTCCACCCTAACACTTAGTGCTATCCCAACATTAGCGGCTCCATATGAATAAGCCAATGAAACTCCCGAAAAGTGTAGAAACATTTTGTTGGCCGGCGAAGTTAAACTTTCGACACCACTAACTACCAGTCAGCGAATTATCCACTGAGATTCACGAAGGATATCGAATTATCCAATGAGACTCACGAACGTACTTCAATGTCGTAGAGCGCTTGCTTCTTTTCTAATGCGTGACCTTACAAGGTTACCGTTGCAACTAGAGGAGAACAGTGTTTTCCAGTATTGCCTGGATTTAGAGTTACTCCGGAAGGAGAGAACTTGTTCGTGTGTTGGTATCATGACTTTCAAAATCTATAGCAGATCAACCGATGGGTTTGTTAATCGTTGTGCTAAATGTTTGAAGTGAATTAGCATTAGAGAAGGTAAGCTAATAATTTTAATATTTCGTAGGAACTTTTTTTGTATATCTGCAACTACTGGGTCTTGAAACAGCCAGTGAGAGCCGCAGCTGATGAAACGGAGAATAGCCTGGTCTCAACAGTTCAATGATATCAGTATTGCAGAGATATTGCTTCGTGTAAAATAGAGTAAATCACTTGTTTGCTGGGTGGATCCCGTTACGAGGACTCATACGAATCCCACTGAAGGTTTTTGGGGCCGCTTGAAAAACAGGATAAGGGCTATAAATGGATCTCGAAAGGATCTCATTCATAGCCATTCAGATGAATATAAGTACACGATGTGGTGTGACTTCTCCGTTGACACTCACATGCTAAACTGAGAAATGTTTCTCTCACATGTTAGGGAAAGATACCCCTTGTAACCGTTTTATCCTTTTTTTATGATTTTTTTCTATAAATATACGTTTCCATTCATCATATATGCCTATTTAATGTGACTGGTTCGTTCAAGGTCGTTTGCTGATTGGTAGTTAGTGGTGTCGAAAGTTTAACTTTGTCAATTTACCATATGTTTTTTGGAAATATGGAAAAATATACAACCAGATAGAACGTCAGATTTCAAAGCTTATGAGCATAAACTGATTTGTACTAGTTATAATCTCACCTCTTCATCTGTTGGTGATGAATATTCTTTGATGGATTTAGTAGTAAACAGTTAGTGAATTGGATAGTAACTCAGTAATTGGGGATTGGGCTTCTTCCCTAGGAAGTTCTATTATATTTGGAAATCTTTTATGCGTTATAGGTTAATCATCGATTTTAAATTTAAAGTATTGTAAAACTATCGGTTGACTCCTGCCTTTCTATATAAAATAAGACACGTGATCCTGTTGCTCATCACCTTAGACACTGATTAAATGGTGTGTAGAGTTTTTTCTCAATTCAGTAAACGCAAACATTTTCGAACACGTTGCAATTCACTGTACACTAATGAACCCTGTGTCATATGGGTTATTGATTGTGGTCTATGCCGTTGATGTTTTCCAAAGTGGGTCCCTGTTACTAACTGAAAGACGCCTTACCCTTCGCCATTTTAAACAAAATTAGCTTGGAATAATCATCTCCCTTACGTAGTTTCATGCAACCTGCAACATTCAAGTGAGTATGGCCAAAATTATGATATTCCATTCCAGGTAGGAAGTTTGGTTACGATCACGAACACTTCACTGGATCCCACAATTTCAGTAAAAATTACGGCCATGAAATCTTATTGTCAGTAAGCAAAGGTTTGCATAACCGCATAGATGAGGTGAGTAGGCGTCATAAGATGTAAAGATCAAAATTTCGTGTGTAAGAGGCCAAAAGAAAATATAATAATATAAAACCGAGACTAGAATTCTAAGGATAAGAATTATTTCTATAGTGAAAGTCACACGAAAGATTAGTAAAAATTAAGTGGTGCACTTCTGTAAGGAAGAGTCACTAAAGAGACAGTTACCAGGGTAACTAAAGTCTCACAATGGATCCTTTTAAGGTGCATGGATCAGGTTTCAGTAGTTTTATCGCGATAGCCTAGGCAAACGGAAGAAGACATGAGGTACATTTGCTGTTAATTATTTCAAATACTCTTGACACTTAAACTCAATGTTCTGTGTCTATTGGGTCATATGACTCGTCAGATGTCAGTTGACATGCACGAATTTGTGGTCGTTGGTCATTGACAGACCTTACCACAATTTATCTATTTCTCTCTGAAATGACGACTGAGTTATCCTAATAGAAGTCAAAATCGTCTCTCAGATGCCTATTTTATATGTCCGTTTAGCGTAAGAATATAAGTATGCAGACTAACGAGTATTTATGGTTAACACAGGTGTTCCAGAAGCAGTGATAATCTTGCACTAACTAACAGTTTACCGTTACATGATGTGGTTGAGTTCACTCACTATCACAAAATCGACAACCGTTCACTGAATTTATATAGGCGAAACTTACAGTTAAATAATCGCATTATGATAATGCAATAGTTAGTGAATATTCTGAGGTCCGATAAATACTACTTACGAGTTGATTACGCATTGATATCAGTTAGAGAACCATTGAAAACCAGAAGGGAGTACTGGACAGCTGCTGTTTCATCCTAGTTTGGGAATCATCTGCAGTACGCACCCACTGGGATTTGGACCCAAGAACTTCAGGTTACAAGGCAAGCTCGTATACCATTCATCCACTGGGACCCGATTCAATGGCCAGTGCATGAATTCTAACTTCTACCATTTCGTGATTTAGCGCGACCCAATGGTTCGTGTTCCTAACTGATATCAATCCGTGATCAACTCGTAAAAACATATCAAACCCTTACAAACCAAACTATAGAAAATACTACCTAGTTACAGTTTTAGTAGTTGAATGTTCTCAAGAAATCAACATACACACACATACACACCACGCATTTCTTAAAACTCTACATCTGGGATTCTGATCAGTAGGGGTATACGTCGTCTAACAGGAAGAAAGATTGTTTTATATCTGGTTAAAATCATGATGAACTTATAACATGTAAAAAAAATTTGACATCTGGATTTATATAAAAGAAGTCTGAGTAACTTGATATGATTGTGAGCAAAAAAAATGCTCGAAACCCCACCAGTGAATATTGCTGTATAACACTGTCAGAATTTATCAAAATAAATTTTACCAACAGTGGAATTACACTCTACCACAATGCACAACGAAGATTTCTTCACTAGGAAATGCTGTCTGATAAGAGGAATATGTATTCAAGAATACGGAGCAATTATGCTGCTAAAATGTTTGCAACCGAATGAATAGATGATAGCGGAATTCTAATTGACACTGGACATCTGTGGAGTACGTAACAATATGATTGTACACTTTTTGTTAGTTGTAGAAATTAGAGACGTTGTACATGATTTTTGTTTAAAACAATTCATGTTAAAATACATATAACTTCCGTGTACAATTGGAAATACACTTTACTGCTGGGAATTTCGCCTTCTCTCTAGCCGCTACTACTTACCTGCTCCACTCACACCGTGTTGTATACTTTGGATATATTGTAGCGGTCTACTATCCTCATCCGAAGACAACTCTACAACCGGAACACAGCATCTTCCAGCAGATGTAATTCCAACAGTTAACGTTCTCGTGGATTATATAAATAATTTGTAGCAGAGTATTTATACATTATAACCAAGTAACCTTTTGATTAATATAACGCTTTACTGCATTCTTTGATAATATATATTTACCCTATCATCTCATTTACTTGGATTTTTATTTGCATATTTGTAATGTTAATTAGCTTTCCTAATAGTCCCCTACACATCGGCTAAAGAGATTCTCAGGCCATATTATTTTTTTATCCAGAATCAGAAATATTCTCTACCGTGAATACGATCATAATTAGCTGCTGAAACCGTCCAACACCAACCACATGGTGATTATCGCCTTTCCTCTCCGCTTAGTTAACACTTCGTGCTCTGGAAGGTCTACTTGTGCTTTCAATTAAAGGTGTACTGGAAACCATTCACACCTTGATATTCACACACCCAACTCAAACAAACTAATTGGTAGAGATTCATTCTCCATCGCTTCTCTTGTGCATAATACTTTGCCATTAGCCTTCAGGTACGCATTTCCTCAGAATGGATATCTGATTGCCACACTCCCTCTTTCAATCTGGTCAGAAAATCGTGAATGAAGCAAGCGAATTCACATGAGATTGCTAATCTGTTGCAGAATGTGTGAAATGATGAACCCTGTATTACCTCTTATATTGGTACACCTTTGTATTTTCATATTTCATGCAATTATTTAGCATAATGAACTTGAATAAAGCAAGAAGAACATACTAAGCATAATGGAATGATGTCATTATATTTCGTCAGTCCTTTCACATCAGTATACAAGACGATAGGATAATGTATTTGCTGTTCATGAAGGTAGAGGATTTTAGTATCACTTGACTGAGTAGCATACTGGAAAGGAATAACAGTCGTTGTTGAGCTAGTTTGAAAGTTCAGAAACAATAATGAATTAATCTATACTTACGAACGAAAGTTACGAACTGAATACAGTCTTGAGATCAGGCATACATTTATTTATGTCAAATAATTTCTGATTCCATATTAATTCTTTTATTAGACATATCACACAATGAAACAGTATTACTTACTTGATGTGGTTTCAAACGAAATTTATTGTTTATAATCATATCACTTATAATCACACGACTTCGAAACTTGAATTTTTTAGTTTTCTTTGTTCTTTTCTATTTATCATAGGGGCAGTAGAATTTCTCAGATATCTGGGACAAGTGTTGAGTTATTCCTATTATACGTATTTGCAGTTGATTCGATAAACAAAGCTTCTGTTATTAATCTCTCCCTCCACCCTATGACATTAGATTTTAAAGCTGTCAACTTATCCCATCATCCTACTTTATGGTTGTGTGTAATTGCATGTAGTGCTATAGCTGAACTATTCTCTAGATTTCTTATCTTCGGGTCAACTAATGAAGATTTTGCTGGGCGAATAAGAGAGGCTTTAAAGCTTCCTGCCTTATTAAGAATTCTGCGAAAAGTTGCCGAGGTTCCTTCTCTGTATGGGAGTACTACTGATGATTTAAATTATTTATTGTTGGTGTTGTCATTGTCCTGCCCATTATCACTATTAATATTATCATCATTATTTTCCTTATCACTACTATCATTATTAATTTTATTTTTACATTTCTCTATATATTTTCTGACTAACTTGTCGGGGTAATTATTAGGTTTCAGAACTTCTTTTATATGCCTCACTTCCTCTCTTAGACTTTTCTTGGTACTAGTTGGTTTTTGTGCTCTATTATTTAAAAATTTCACCAATTCTATTTTCACTGACGTAAGGTGGGATGATCGAAAATATAAATATCGGTTGGAATGTGTGGATTTCCTGTGAGCAATAGTGTTCTCTAATTTTTCCAAAACTACGGATTCATTAAGCCTCATTTAATTTCTGTAAATACTTCTAGCCTTTCATTGTTGCCTGAATTATTTCGGTCAATTATCATCCCCTTGACTGGCGGATGCTGAATAACCATTCTTCAGAAAATATTCACCCCTAAGATAGTTAATTTCGTAATGTATATTGATTCATATATGAAAGTAGAGCCATATATACACATTTTATAGGAACGCAAATATTTCTTTGCCCAGTCACTTTGTCTACTAAACGTCTATATTGTGACATTTGCTATAACTGATAATCATCAGATCGTCGCGTTCTTAGAGAGTGTTGGTTTTGATAGTTTGCGTTTAGTAAACAGAGTTTTCAGAGGAAGTATCTAGAAATAATATATAAGGCTGATCATGTTGCTTTTGAGAAGGGAATTCCTGGATTTCATTGTCTAGTAATCTGTCCTATGTGGTGTCCAGACAAACGTATATCATCTGCCGAAAGCTGACTAGTGTGCTGCTGAACACAAAATACTTAATCAGTATTTATGAACTACTTAGATAAGATTTTAGTAAGCGATATTGTGGAGATAAATATTCTCAAGAAATCTGCACTACCCACACACATTTCAAACATCTATGTGCAGTATTCCGATTGACAGGACTAACTGTTTGATTACATAAAGTAGCACAGGAGTAAGGACATAGAGCGGAAATAGGTGCAACACTGTACTGCATTCAGAGAATTTTACATTGTATCAAGCATGCTGTCTTGTAATCAAAGCATTGCCACTTTGTTTAAACCAATGAGATGCTCACTGGCGACTGGCCCTATTCAGGTAGGTAGTTACCTGGGGTTCCAGTGGGAAGTCGTGACCAGTAGGGTGCAGCAGGTCGGGTGTGAGGACAAATACTCGCCGAAGACATTGGCTAGCGGTTGCGCTATATCGTGAATTGGCGGAAGTTAGAATTCAAGGACCATTGGATCGGGTCCCAGTGGCTTAATGGTCTACGAGGTAGCTCGTCTTGTAACCAGAAGGTCCTGGGTTCGAGTCCCGGTGGATGAGTATTTCTGAAGAGTCCCAAACTAGGAAGAAACAGCTATCAGGTACTCTCAGGTTTTCCAATGGTTCTCAAACCAATGTCAGCTCATGATGAAATCCTGTAATAAATTATAACTTATTTTTACATTCATTTAAAGTAATCCATTATCAGCTTATAAAAGATCACAAAATACGCGAACATTCTTTCACTGTGAAATGGTATCTGGAAAAAAGTAGTTGTTCACAACTATAGAGTAATTTTGCACTTATAGTTGTGCAACAGAATCAATAATCGATGGAAGGGTTCCCATGTAATAAAGATACCCAGTGAATGGATTCGTCAACTGTATCAGTTCCCGATCTCAAGAGGTCAGATGCTTGACTACACTTTTGTTTGAATAAAGATGTAATGGAAATCACTGACCATTCAGCATTAGTAGACTCGGCTCATCACAGCATGTGTTGAAGAATCTTACGTCGTTGTTTCTTTTGTAGACGGTAAGTTATCAACGTAGTGACAGTCTATATCAAACAATGTCTGACATTCTTTACCTTTAGTGATGGAAAATAACTCCTCTGAAATCCGTACATCTACGGGGTAACCACTGGATTCATAATTGTGCTTTATTGAGTTTATATCGCTACGTTGTCCATGGATGCCATTTTGTTGCACTTTCATTAACAATAGGAACCAATCCAGCCAACATTCCTAGTATGTTTTTGATTCTGTGAAACCATAAGTCCTCTGTTACCTCTTAATTCTGTTTTCCACCGTATGCTTATACTTTCTCTAATACAAGTATCATTTTCTTCATTTTTCTCTAGTTATTTAAATATAGTTTATACTTTATTTCTACCTAAATCATTGGTTTCAATTGGTGATTCATGTGGAACAAATATTGCCGTTTGCTCGCATTTCGCATTGATGTGTCATTGGTTCAGGAAATTCACAGGAACTCAGTGTGAACCGTGAAATCATAATAATGCTGTCAATGTAGTTGAAGATTGAACGATCAATTCATGTTTGTTTGCTCAAACCTAACTCTATATTATAGCGGAAGTCATCAATACTGCAGTCATCGTTCGCTGCTCGTTAGAAGACTGAGAAATACTATCAGAAGTATTATTGTGATTAATTGTTATTACATTTATTCTTAGACTTTGTGTACAGTAACCTAATGGTTGACTCTGTATTGGTGCAAGAATAAACGGTTCTTGAGTCACCAATTTGTGTTCTGGTTTTTTTGCGTCAGTTATTACGCATACTTTCTGAAAGACTTCTAAAGACAGCGTGAAGTCCAGTGTAGTTAGACCTGAACATTGACAGTTTCTGATATTTCTCCTGGAGTTATTCGTCTTATTTGTTGCCAATTCGTCTTTCCTTTCGTCAGCCTGTCTTCATTGTACAAGTGTTATATGGAACTTCTCTGGATTTTTAGTCAAGTTCAATGATGCCTGGGTCAAAGAAAGGATAAAGCGTTTTCGAAGCAGACAAGAAAGTAAGAAATGAGGAGTTGCCTGTTATATGTAATGATGTGTGTGATGCTAAGCATGATAAGATTGATGTTCATGTTTCCCCGACGAGGCCTAGTAGAAATATTAAAATTTCTAAATTTGAGCCTCGGTGTTTCGACGGAAACCCAACTGAATATCCACAGTTTGTAAAGGAGTTTGAAGTCATGATGATTGGGTTTGCAGTAAATGACGAAAGGAAGTTAACGTATTTGTTGAGGTACTGCACTGAAGTTGCTGCAAGAGCCATAAACTGCTGTAAGTTTAATCCTCCCCCACACGAAGGATATACTGAGGCGATGCGTATCCTGCGTCAAACGTTTGGAAGAACTTCAATGTTTGTAAGGAATGTATTCAAGGCTGTTAAAGGTAATGGTAGTCAATTACGAGATGACTCGAAGGCACTCTCTGAGTTTTTGGATAATCTGATGACTTACAAGAGTACGCTGGTATCGATGAATTGCATCAGCGATCTGAACTCAAGTTCCGTCCTCGAGGTAATAGCGAGACACCTACCTACTCGACTGCAAAGGAAGTTGGTGAAGATAAGCTCTATTAGAGATGATGAAGGTATTGAGCCAAAGTTTTGTAGTGTAAATTGAATCCTTGAAATTTGTTTAAACTCGCTCACCCATCTTTTTTGGCACTTCTACATCTTTCGAGATTTAATCCTGCTGGACACAGGCAGCCTGTCGACGGCCGTAATTTTGAGTGACCGCGAATGAGATAAACAAGCGATTCACTCGCTTGTGATTGGCCAGTTTGTCATTCGAGTTGAGTTAATTTAAAACATCATTTTGCCGCTTGGTTAAGTTCTGAATTTCTGTGAGGTTATATCAAATTGTAGAAGATAAGCTCCCACAGAGAGGATGAAGGTGTTGAGCCAAAGTTCGATGATATTCTGAAACTGGTAAAAGTGGGTGTCACATCTTTCGTGAGATATCCCAACACAATGGTTACAAGTTGCGAGGCAAATACGGTTGAATTTCAAACAAAACACATACATGGGCGAACTGTGAAGCAGTTGGCAAGTCTAATAGTCAGCCAACTGCGAAGTCAGAGTAATAAATGTATGACTCCAAATTGAGTGACGATAATGGCACAGTGAAGAAGCCTGTGGTTGCAACTGGTAAGCCATTGTTGAAGAGAGTGTCATAGACGATACCGCAGTTTGTGCAGAAGAGAGTTACAGTTTCTGAGTTCAGCTCCGACTCCGGAATTTTACAAGGTATTACTAAAGAGAATAAGGGATAAAACCTTTAAGGATTTGTGAAGAAGAACTCAAACCACCTAATGTTGTTATTAAAGAGTTCGCAAATGATGAAATGGATCATGCAGACGACGGTAAAGTGAATATTTGCGATAATGATCATGATAGTGCACTTCTGTTTTTGGTTAATCATGAGGAGATTAGTGGACTGCCTACTACTGCTAAGTTGAACAAAGGTTCTGTACATCTGAAACGTGAAGTAGAATTAAGAGCAGATGCGGCTGAAGAAAATATTGATACTTATGAGACCATCAGTGTAAATGATCGGCGTGTAGTCCACCTATCGACAGATGTTAAATCTGAACTGGAGCTAATCATAAAAGATAGCAGAGGTGGTAATTCTACAGTTAGACAAATTCCAAAGGTCGAAAACAAGAGTTGCTGATGCACTGCGAAGTTCATCAAGTGGTATCAATCAGTCACCGATGGTGTTGTCATCCACAGTGGAAGGGATATCCATGTACTCAAGTGTCTTGTGCTCTGACCATGCTAGTACCAGTCCGATTGAAAAGAATATCAATGGTCAGTTTAGTGAAGATATGCTAACTGTGTATGGAGTGCGATTGTTAAACTGACTTGCACGAATAAAAGCCTTCCAAGTTTCAAGTTACCATTTGAATGTTATCTTTGATGTATATTACTGTGTACCTACGCTTGGTCGGTCAGATACGTTGTGTGTTTGTTAGTCATCTGTATTCAACGATACAATCACATGGGCGTGTCACTATTCAGAGTTGAGGATTTAGAAGATAGAAGGAGGTCAGCGAATGAACTCTGCAACGATTTTCCAACCTAGGGCGTCAACCTGAGAAGGGTTGTAGGCGTACTGCTGTAAGTCCTAGAATTCTTCAAGGGTAGTACGTCGAAGCGCAGTCCATCGTACCTGGTGTGTTGTTTTGTACATATGTTCATGTTGCATATACTATAATAATATATTTTATTTCTGGAACAGAAACCAGCCATTTTTACAGACGTGAACATATTTACACTTAATAGAACTTATAGAATATATAATATGATTTGTTAATTTAGAAATAAGTTGAATACTGGTAAATGTGAGAGGAACATTTAAAAATAAATGTACAAATAAGGAAATAGATAATTTTTGAGGTCTGCTTTCGACCGAATAATTCATAAGATATAGTGTTAAATCTAAAGTGTGATTGAAAAAAATAGATGTCGACATTAGTTCAACTGCGCGCGCTCCTTGAATACGACGTGCTATTTCCTCTCTAACTGGAAATATCCACTTTTGTGAATTATTGGTTTGAGAAACCTGATCTTCCTACCCGGCGAATTTTATTCAACTATTTCTTCTTCACCGAGCCTGTGTGTGGTACTTCCCGCTGTCTCAAACTACTGCCAAAGCTTCAGGTGCTACTTCTGTAGCAACATCCTCCTCACCCTTTCAAATATACAGGACTTGTTGGTCTGTTACGTGATTGCTGTGAAGCCGAATAACCCGAAGGTTACAGGTAAAATCAAAAGCTTTTACGTATATACTTTATCCTCTTCTGTGCTCTCTATTGTCTTTTGCTGTCAGTCTATTGGACGAAATAACACTGTCTCTTATTATTTAATCACCAGTAATGATTTAGGGGTAATATGACGATAGATTCTCACCCTAAGATAAGTAATGGGACGTCATACTCCGTAGTCACCAGGGCTTCAGGCAAACTGGGCACACAGACGAAGGTGATGGACTCTCGCATACCGGTCTTGAAGACCAGGGCAAATATTCCCTGCTCGTACAGAATGCCCATGTCGCCACAGTCCTACAGTGAAGCTGTGCAAAGTTAACCCAGTGGATGTGGCTCCGTCCCTGTTAACACGACTAGTTTAACAGAGCCGAGTGGGAAAATTGCACTAAGTGAGAATTGTATAAAACTCATCTCCATGGTAGGCCATAAAACAAACAGGAAGGCCGAAAAGAAACGTTCACGACGTCGCAAGAGGACAAAACGCTCCCCAAGAAGGCAGACGATTGCAAGGTCTGCATTCTGTTGTCGAACAAGCAGACTCTGTCTTCGAATGTAACTTTTGCAAGCGATGGGTGCATTGCAGATGCGACAATGGGGTACCAAAAGTATATTATGACTTTATGCGTAAGAACACATGCCCATGGTTCTGGTACATATGCCCAAGTTGCCGTCCTGATGTAGCCTCGCGTAGTCCTTTGAAAACTAAAGGTGGCGTAGAAGTAGCAGGGAAAACCTGAAATGTTCTACTCCCACCAACTCGGAAATAGCACAAATGCACGTAAACCGGGGATACCAAAATCCTCACCAGTTAAACTTGTAACTCTTGACATAACCGCTCCAGACACAGTGCTGAAGCACCACGGGTTTCTGTCGCTGAAAAAAGACCCTATCGTCTGCCAGTAATACTGGCCATGGCACTGAGACACAAAAAAATACCCAGTCGCACCAGACGAAACAAAACGGTCTTAAAGGACCTAGCCTAAGCCCACGGTTAGTAGATCAAATTGTGTAATCCTCTTTAATGTACCAGACTGAAGTAGTAGTCTGCTGAAAGATAGGGCCCTATTTGATCAGGAACAGTGGTCCATCTTGTGTAGCACACTGGACATCCAACCAGTAAATCTATGCAGATTGTATAGGGGCACTGCTGCACCTGAAGGCAAACCATCCCCACTGAGGGTAACATTGGGCTCTACCGAGGATGTTGAAAAAGTGTTACTGGCTTCTCAAGTCCTTTCTATAGGGAGGGCCTGTAACATACGTGTTAAGCCAGACAGGCCGTGGAAGGAAAGACAAATGGCGAGGGAGTCGCCAGAGCTCATTCCTTCTGCCTCCATGGTTGTGCATGGCATTCCCGAACTGGTAACTGGGAACGCCTGCGAAAAGCATTGTCATGATGTACAACAATGGAGATGGTTGGCATCCCAGATGGCCCTGGGGAGTTCAGGGGCTGTCTCTATTTATAGACTGCCTCGACCCACTCATCTTATGTCAATTAACACGCCACGTCTGTTAGCTGTCAAGTTCAGCTCCCAAGACCAGTTGACTACCGCTCTCCATAGATGGTACGAGACCAAGGACAAGGTCAGCAAACACATTCGCTGCTGCGAGAGCCGGCCTCGCACTCAAAGGAGAGAACAAAGCGTAGTAAAAAAATCCTCAACCCCTAGTCACACTACAGCGGTGCAGCACGGACGATGATAGCCAGTGTCATCCGAGTGCTCCAACTGAACTAGAAGAAAAAAAC